CCCCCGTCACCCAATTCCCAAAATTCCGCTGCCCCTTCACTATGGGAAAGAAGCCAAATTCAAAAGGACAGCTGCCCCCCCGCCGACCGGTCCGTTTTGAGAGCCTTTTTGAGCAGGTTTTTCTTTTTCCCGCTCTCTGTTGTTGCCGTCGCTACTGTCGTCATCTCACACTCGCTCGCTCGCTCGCTAGATTCTGACCGAATTGAATTGGATTGGGATTGGGATTGGGATTGATTTGGCTGCGGATTTGTTGGCTTCGGGATCGCGCATTGGATTGGGTTGGTTTGGACTCGATTGGATTGGATTGGATCGGATCGGATCGGATTGGATTGGATTGTTTGGATTTGATTGACGGAACTGTTTGACTGTCAGACGGACTACCGGGCTCTCCATTGTCGCTGCTGTCTGTTGCTGTCTCTCTTTCTGTCTGTCCATCTGTTCGTCTGTCTCTGCATCTCTTCATCTGTTCATCTCATCTGTTCATCCCATCTGTTTGATCTCATCTGTCTATCTCTTGCGTCGGCTCCGTTGTCCGTTGTCCGTTATCCATCGTCTATTTCTCGTCTTGTCGTCGGCCTCATCGTCGTCGCCGCCGTCGCCGTCATCGTCGCCATCGTCGTCATCAGTCTTATCTATCTCTATTCTCACCTGGTCGCATTACTCGACTCACCGACACCCACCATCACACTCTCATCTGTACCTCCTACCATTACACGCCAGTACACCTGGGGTCCCGCGCTCAGTTGTCTCCGGGGAACCTGCAAGTCCCGGACCGTCCTGCACCACGCCGGACCCGAACCCAACGTGCCTTGATCTATATAATTTAATACTCGGCCTGTACCCGTCGCCATGCGATCTTCTCTTCTTCACCTCGCCGCTGCCGCCGCCCTCTCCTGCTCCGCGGGTGCGGCGGCGGCCACGGTTCCGAAAGCCCCCGCCCTGCCCGCCTCGGCCTTCGTGCCGACCCAGGCCAAACTGCTCCCTTTCGACGACGCCAAGGCCGGCAAGGATTTGGTCGGGCTCGAGTTCGACACGACCCACGCCATCGACCTGATCTCCGAGGGCTCCGCCGCCGACCTCGTCTCCTCGGCCAGCGCCCAGTCCTGCGCCGCCTCGCCCAACATGCGCTTCGAGTGGAGGTCCTACTCGACCCGGGACCGGCAGGCCCTCATGGTGGCCATCCGCTGCCTGATGAACCGCCCGCCGTCGGGCAACTTCCCCCCGGCCGCCAACCGCTACGAGGACCTGGTGCGCCTGCACCAGATCAACACGCCCCGGGTGCACGGCAACGCCATCTTCCTGCTCTGGCATCGCTACTACGTCTGGACCTTCGAGCAGGTGCTGCGGGCCGAGTGCGGCTTCAACCGCGCCTTCCCGTGGTGGGACGAGACGCTGGATGCCGGCCGGTTCGCCCAGAGCACCCTGTTCACCCAGCCCTACTTCGGCAACCTGCTCCCGGCCCAGGCCAACGGCCAGGGCTGGTGTATCAACAGCGGCGCCTTTGGCGGCATCACCCTCAACGTCGGCCCCGGCCAGTCCAACCGCGCCCACTGCCTGACCCGGGCCCTGAACGAGCAGTTGACGGCGCAGGTCAGCAAGGCCTACGTCGACCTGTGCAACTCCCGTGCGACCTACGTCGAGATGGCCAGTTGTGCCGAGGGAGGGTACGTGACTTCTCCCCTTTTTCCCACATGCTTCTTCTCCCGTGTCATGCGTCCCCCCCGCGGCTCCCCCCGTCGTGTCTCCCCGAACCCGAGCCCCCAGACTAACCCCCCACGTGTGCAGACCCCACGCCTATGGCCACAACGGCATCGGTGCCGTCATGTCGGACGTCGCCGCCGCTCCCAACGACCCGATCTTCTTCATGCACCACCTGTTCGTGGACCACGGCTTCCGCATCTGGCAGAACGTCCGCGGCGCCACCTCGGTCAACGGCAACGGCCCCGACGGCAGACCGCTGACGCTCGACACCATCATCGAGATGGGAGGTGTCCGTCCGAATGTCCCTATCCGGAGCATCATCAACACGCTCGGAGGGGTCCGGATCGGGACCGAGATCTTCTGCTACCGGTACAACTACTAGTGTCCGACGTCCGGACATGGCAGCGGGGCGTGACGCAGGACCGGCCGTCGGGCGCTGCGTAGCTGTACTGTACAGAGAGCGAGATGCCGGGCCGGGGGGGGGGGGAGAGGTGAATTTATTGTATCTATGTAACCCTGTGTTCTTGGGACTGGGCTGTTGCCGTGTACTGTCTAGCCGCAGCACCAGCCCAGGGAAGCCTCCGACAATGGTTTGGAGGGGAAAGAAAAAAAAAAGGGACGTCAATATGACGAGAAGGAGGAATTTTTTATTTTTTTTTCTTTTCCGTCTCTCAACCTGAAGGAGGAGATACGATACCCGAGGGACGTGGGAATGACCCCCTAATACTTGGAACCTCTCATGTTGTTTATTTGTCTCTCCTTTTTTTTCTTCTTTTTTTCCTTTGATCGATTGACTCTGGAAGTGGCTTCATTATTTTTGGGGGGGTGGGAAAGGGATCTGGCTTTGCGCTTTACATACTAATACTGAGAGTGCGTGTGTATATATATGTATATATTTGTGTGCGTGTGCGTGTGCGTGTGCGTGTGCGTGTGCGTGTGTGTGTGTATATATGTGTGTGTGTGTTGTGTACATATGTGTGTGTGTGTGTGTGTGTGTGTGTGTGTGTATATACATTTATATCATCAATATAGACCTGCTCTTCTTTTTTCTTCTCATGTTGGTATTATTTGGTTTTGAGGCTTGGTTTTAAGCTTGGTTTAAGCTTCAGGTGCGGGATTGGGGATTGGGGATTGGTAGGTTATTAGGTGGTGGTTTGTTTCTACGCTGCTGAGATTGTTGGTTTGGTTGGCTTGGTTGATGGGGTTGGTTGGTTGGTTGATGGGGTTGATAGGGTTGGTATGGTTGTGGGGTTGGGTTGGGTTGGTTGGTATGGTTGGTTTGGTTGTGGTGGAATGGAATAATGGAATGGAATGTGATGTAATGTAATGTAATGCTATAGATATACACTTCTCTCACTTTTACGTAGGTATTTATCTAGAGATCTGTTTATACGTGTTTGTTTCTCTTTGGGTCTTTGGGTCTTTGGGTCCGTGTGCTTTGGGTTTGTGGTCTTTGGTCTTTAAGTCTTTGGGTCTGTGTGCTTATGTCTGTGGTCTTTAGGTCGTTCGACCTTTGGGTCTGTGGGTCTGTGGTCTTTCAGATCTTTTAATCCTAATATAATAACATCGAATTCACATTCCTTTTTCCTTTTTTTTTTTTTTTTTTTTTTTTTTTCAGTTGTGCGAGAAGGGAAAGGGAAACGGGAAAGGGAAAGGGAAATGAAGCGAGATAAAATAGGATAGGATGAGATGGGATGGGATGAGATGGATGAGATGGGATGAGATGGATCGGATTTCTTTTCTCGGCGGTGGGATAGTGGGATAGGATGATAAGAGGATAGGATGATAGGATGATGTGTGTGTGTTGTTGATTACCTTCGTTCTTCTTCTTCCGAACCGAACGGAGCGGAGCGGAGCGGGAGGCGGAGAATTTTTTTACGTTTTTTTGGGGAGGGGTGGGGGGGTTTATTTGTTTTGTTTATATGGAGTATGGAGTTTGGAGTACGCGATGAGTGCGTGCGAGGTGTGGTGAGGTAGGTGAGGTGGGGTGGGGTGAAAGAGAGGTGAGGTAGGTAGGTAGGTGCCTTTAAGCTATACATACTATACGATAAGATACGATACAGAAGTACGGTATACAAACGAAGAAGGTCTGAGAAGGTATACCAAGTACGACGTAAGAAGGTACTACGTACCTACTACTACCTCCTACGAAACCCTTCAGCATGTTACGGTCCTGGCAAGGGGTCAGGGGGTTGATTAGTCAGCCGTGGTCATATGACATCCCGCCTTGGGGGATGCACGTACTCTCTCGGCCTTGTATCATAGTTCGTGCGTGCCTCCTCGTCTTTCCTTCACCCTACAGTACGTAGCGTACAGATGAGCCGCGACTACGGTACTAGGACGGTACCATACTACCTTTCCTTAGCTGTTACACAAAGAAAGACCGACCGACCGACCGCCTTCGCTGCGAAGCGCGAAGCATGGTAATAGGTACAGTACCTACCTAGTACTACGTCTCCACCCCGTTTTCTCAATATACTTTAAACCGGCTCGGCTGCAACCCAAGGGTCCTTTCAAGTGACACCGGCTCCGACGTTCCTCTGAAGTCTAAGTGCCGCGATCAAACCCCCTTGCGGATCTCAGTCCGCCAGAAAGCTAGTAGTAGTAGCTACCTAGTACCTAGACCCCCTCCGAACCTCTGCCGTTGCGGTGCGACTCTCACCTTCGCTTAGATTGCTTGTGCTGCAGTCCGTTCGGAACCCCTTTCTTGCGATAAGACGCGAAGCTCTCTATTAAGCTATTCTACACCTGATCAAGCCTCTCGACACCTCTTGGCCTGTCAGCTTTATCGAGCGTTGCACCTCCCCTCCCCTTTTCTTTTTTTTTCTTTTCTTTTTTTCTTTTTTTGTGATCTGCTAAGCTGTAGAACCACGCCAATTCCACTCCTTCCGCTAGCTTCGGAATCCTTCTTCCCAGCTCCCTTGCCGAACTTCAACCTCACAACTTCCACGCATACGTACCAGCGACGGCCCCACGAGGGATTCATACCGTACTTGTTCGTACTTGTACACAGAGAGGATAAGGCTGCCAAGACCACGCTTGCCGGAAAGAAAAACCTCTCGAACCTAATCGCTTTCTCTCTCTCTCTTTGGTCCTGCTCCAGTCACTCAGCCGATGACCGATATGCTTTTCCTCCCGCCTCCGCCTCTAAGTACTACGTAAGTAAGGACTGCTGCTTAGCCAAAGCCCGCCACCCAATCACTTTCAGTACTGTACTGTACTTGTAGTAGAAGTAGTAGCTGCGATTGAAAAAAGGCCTTATTTAGCCTTACACACGCTGCCGAGCTTGCCGACCCTGCTAAGCCTGCCATACGTCCTTGCTTAACCTGCCGCTCTGGCAGCTGACTCGCAGACTCGCAACCAGATCCTCGAGTACCTAGGTAGGTACGTAGTACGTCCTTTTCATACTACTACTTATCGGACCCCTCGATTTTTTCTTCTAGTCGAAACCGGGCAGAGGCCAAGTGGCCCCGCTCGGAAATGCAACGACCACCGACATGGTAGCCATATCGGATACGACGCGTAGAAGAAAAAAAATGGGACGTGGAGCCCTTCTTTCAAAAGGGTAAAGATCTTCTTTGAAAGGAGTAGGTACTTTAATAACTTTATTTTATTTTATTTTATTTTATTTATTTATTAATTTTTTATTTTTTATTTATAAGCGAAGCGAAGCCTCTGAAGTTTAAGTGAGGAAAGTACTGCTCCTTATACTTCAGAGTGCACTCTAAGCGACGCCTCTGAAGTTTAAGTAACTACTGCTACTTATACTTCAGAGTGCACTTTAAGCGAAGCCGGATTCATAATCTTCAAAAAAGCATATATATATACGTACGTACTAGTACGTAGTATACCGTTCTGAGTTCGCCGATACCTTGCATTTTTGGTGCTGGTCATGGTTACTTAAAATTCACCCGATTCTTGAATCGCCAGCGCGGACGGTCTGCGCGCAAGAGTGTTTTGACTGACTGACTGACTGACTGGCTACGTACGTACGTAGGTAGTAGTACCGGTAGTAGCTTACTTACTGTGAGTCGAAGCATGTTTTTTTATGCGTGTATAACGAACGACCTTTCGAACTACGCAGTAGCTACGAGCGCTCTAATAAAGTAGTAGTAGGACGTAGCGGTTCCTGACAGAAAGTCTCGCGATATCAAATCCGGAGAGTAAAAGCAAGGCAACCTTCTTCACTCGGCCTTCGGATATTTGACGAATCTACGTAGTACTAACGATAACAACGATTGGCTTCTCTTAGCTTCACTCTTGGCTAGGCCTGCTGGATAACTCTAATATACGCAGTACTGTATTGTAAGAGCCAAAAAGATTAATTACGGAATACTAGTCAACTCAACTTGACTTGCAACTGCGCGGACGCATTAGGTAGTGTTTACGGTCTTGGCAAGGGATTTAAGAGGTTGGATTAGTCAGCTGAGATCACATGATGTCCCACCCTGGGTAGGGTAGGGGATGCATGGTACCGTAGCGTACCATATACCGGTACTCTCGGCCTTGGACTGTAGGTACGGTAGGTAGTTCTCCCCTCCTCGTCTTTCTCTCACAGTAGGTAGCGTATAGATTGGTAGCTAGCTAGTAGAAGACTACTTTTGCTCGGCCGTAACATGGCATCTCCCTCTTTTATCTTCCTTTTTTTATTTCTTTTCTTTTCTTTTCCTCTTTCCCTCTTTCCCTTTTTCCCTTTCAGTGCTCTTTTTTTCATTCCTTCTTTTCCCCCTTTTTGCTCTCCCCTTCCTCGCTTGTTCTCTCTCTTTCTCTCTTTTTCTTTCTCTCCTTCTCCTCTCTCTCTTTCTTTTCGCTCTTGTTCTTCTTTTCTTCTCTTTGATAGAGGATCCATCATTTATAGTTTGCAGTCTGAGCAGTCTGAGCAGTCTAAAAAATCCCAATTTCATCATCATCGTTATCATCATTATCGTCATCGGTAAACCCATTTATGGATGCGGCGTCCGTGCGTCCGTCCGTCTGTTTCTCTCTTTACAGATCTTTGAAAATCTTTAGAGAAGATAGATATGTTTCTCTCTGCTGTTGATAGTAGGAGTTTGACCGGATTTTTTGAGGCTTATTTTGGAGGGTTAGGGAAGGGGGAGACAGGGAGGGGATGGGGATGGGGATAGGGACGGCGGGGACAGGTGTACCTAGTGAGTACCTATGACGAGAGCAAGTAGTATATACTACGTAAGCCCGCTATTGCTCCAATTGCCTTTAAATCCGCAATCCTTTCGGTTTTTTTTTTCCGGCCGATTCTTTACCTGCTCGATTTTACCGAAAACGCAAAACACCCTCGTTCGAACTAGGCTCGAAGTACTCGATGGAATGTGGAAGTAGTGGGACTTGACGTCGCAACTCTATGGAAAGGGCCCCTAAAGTTGCGACGTCAAGTCGCACTATTAAGCTCAAGAAACGAGAGTTCTACGACCACGACCGAATAACATGCACTTGCGAAAGAGGTTCTCCCCAAAGTGTAATAGAACTGCGAGCGAGCGCGCACAAGAATCGAAGGGGAAAGCGTTAAATTGAGTTGTGTAAAAGAGAGTTTTCAATCCTCGGAAGAGGCTAAGAGGCGACACCTGTGGAATGTACCACGGTACAGGCCTAAGTATTACCCCTCGAGGGTGCCTTAAAAGTTTGGTTTCCACTTTAAACCCCCTGTTTTCCTTACCCTCGAGGGGTAATACTTACGCCTGCGACGTAGTACTAGTACGTAGTATGGAAAAAAGATTATCTGCAGGAATAGACGGGATCTATACTCAATCGAGTACTTTACCGCGAAGTCTGGAAAAACTTACTCCGTAGCTTGCGGAGGGCCGTAGGTTTCAGCTTGGCGGCCGGGCTGAAGCTTAGAATTGCATCTTATTCTGCGGCCGAGCTGACTTATGATTTCCTTACATCATTTTGCGGTTTTAGTGCATTTCTTATCTCAAAGTGGTATAGCGTTGGTGTTAGAAGCCTCGGAGGTAGCCTTATACTGTACCTGCGACCGTTGCGAAGCGAGGTCCCTTGGCCTCGGAGCTTGCGGAGGGCCGCCAGGGAAAAAACCTCGTTTTTATTATTGATCATTGTGAAGTGAAGTATATCGATTACGAGGGGTATGTATGTTTGATAGGTTGGCGGGCGAGCGGGTATACGGAGTAGCGTATGTTAATTGGGGATATGTTAAAAGGATAGATTGAGGATGAAAGAGGAAGGAGGGGGAAGGGGAGGGAATAGGTGTGATGTGATGTGATGTGAAAAAAGAAAAAGAAGAGGAAGAAGCGGTTGCAATCGTCGGCGGTTTACTTGAAATTTTTGATTTGAAAATATGTATATATATATATAGGTATATATATATATTCTGCCGAACTGGCTGCATATAGCGACTTCGGAATCACCCAAAGCGGGACGGACATGCAACTGCAAACCCGGGACACTTTCCTTTTTACTAATGACTTGTGTCAAATTATAATTATTAGTAGATAACATTGTGAAATATCTGTATCTACATCCATGCTAAGAATACATTGCTTTATAAAGAGTACATGATGAATATATAAAGATGCGGAGTCAAAACATTGCGATGTATCGTGAAAATATAACGGAAGAAACTGTTCCAAATAAGCCAAATATTACCTACCTTGCTCGTTTCTAGATATCTCCAACAACCACAAATGCCAATCGAAAAAAAAAAAGATCAATACACGAAAAGGAAATGATTCTTTCCATGATGTTATAATGGATGTATTCATAAGTGAATGCTGGAGCTGAGCGAATCAACTCGACTCCGACCCGATTCCCCCTATATTAAGAGGAACCGCGTGCGGTCCACAACCCCAAGTTATCAAACCTCTACAAAAAAGATCTTTGCGAGCCCACCCACCGTCCCTTGCTTTTTAGTCAGTTTGTCAGTTAGTTCTGTTTGCCCTTGACTCTAGGATCAAGGTGCGTAGCGGAGGCCGAAGCTTGGCCCTGATTTTCCACTGGTTCTCTCTCAGAGCTGACCCATTCAAGGCGAATAGCTTTATCTTGGTCCAGCAAGCAAGCTGCTAGAAACAGAGAAAACGCGTGGCAAGCTAAGCCCAGAGCGTCCCTACCAAATATAGAGAGCCGTTCCCTACCCGAGTTCCCCTTTGTTGTGGTTGCAATTTGTGATAGGAGGAACGATAAATCACAAAAAGGGAAAACCTTTATTGAATGAAAACGTGGACAGTATAGAAAGTGAGTATGCTTTCAAAGGAAAAGTCCGATCGATTATTGTGTATATCTTGAAGAAAGTTGCGTGACGGATAGCGCACGTACGGTATGTACTTGTAACATCAAAAAGTAGGTACGATTATTATTGCATCAAAATTTAGCACTACGATAGAACAACAACAATAATATATATTTGGAAAAACTGTTTTTCCTACCGATTATTACAAGTATGAACGGAAGTGTCCCGGGTTGCTGGGTGTCCCCCGCTTTGGTTGGTTCCGACTTGCTATAGGAAGTACTGTATTTTTTTTACAATAATACTTGAGGCAACCGACGATGATCCGCTTATTTCTTTTCATCTTTAAATGGTATCGAATGTGTAAGTAGGTGAGAGTTAGATTCTTCTTTTGAATTGAGAAGATAAGAAAAGAAAAAAAAAAGGTAGGTAGGCAGAAAAGGGAGAGGTGTGAAAGGAGGAGGAGGAGGAGAGGGTGATGCTAGCTATATATATATATATATATAAAAACTTGCATCTCATCACATACTACCGCTACTACTAATACTACTACTACTACTACTGCTGCTGCTGTCTCAACCTAATCCTCAGAGTCTCAGAGTCTGCACGAAAAATAATTGCAAGTTTCCTTGTTCACAATCTTCACTTTACTTTACTACAGCTTCTTCTCATGTGTGTCTGTTTGTGCTAGCTCGCCATATCGTACAGCCATTCCGTGTATCCATCCATCCATCCACCATTCATCCATCCACCATCCATCCATCCATCCATCCATCCATCCATCAATCCGTCCACTCAGATCCCAGCCACCCAATCAACCCAGACGCCAAAAGCAAGCAAAGTAGCCAATGCTCCCCTCCCATGTCTCCTACCAATTCATCCATCGTCACACCTCACCATCCGTATCTACCAAGTCGTCTGCATCTTCGGGTACTCCTTCGAGCTCAGCCCCAAGTCCGCAAAGATTGGATCATCCTGCTCCAGATGCTGAACACGCCTATGGTCCTCTTCTTCCAACTTCGCCATCTCCTCTCCCGGCGTCTCCGTCTCATCATCTCTCTCGTCCCGACTCATTTCCTCAACAGCCTTGTCCATATCGCCTAATCCCTCACCGATAATCAAGAACTGGGTGTGCTGGTAGTTCAACAGCTCGGGCTCGAGGGGCATCCAGCGAAGGTTGCGGAACTTGCTTTGGATATGCTCGGGGTACTGTGCTGGGTTGTCGAGGGTTGCGTTGGCTGGGCCGGGAGCGTTTGGATTCTTGGCCGAGACAACATAGCTGCCTTTTTCGTTAAGACCGAGCTCTTTCTGGATTTCGCCAATGGCGGGCATGGTAACGTGGTATGCGAGGTGCGATTCGCGACCGGTGGAGGTGATGGCGTAGATACCTTCAGCGAAAGGGGTGGCGGCTGGGATGTGACTTGTGCTGTTTTCTGTCAGTTTTATTTCGCAATCAAAGATTGGGAGTGACTTACCCAGAAGTCTGGGTAGCATAATCGTTGCTTGAGAACTGCTCTCTCAGATCCTTGATCGTCGCATTCGGCTGCTCAACAAATACCAGGAAACGATCTTGACGACTCTTAGGAAGCATTTTCTTTGGCAAGGCCAGGAGGCGAGCATTTCCAGAGTCCTCGAGTGGGCCTTCGCCGAGCTTTGCGCCAAGTGGAAGAGGGCGGAGAACGATGTAGCTGCGAGCAACGTCCTCAATGCCATTGGGGTCCTCAACACCAACGCGAGCACGGAAGAAGAAGTAGATGATGCCCTTCTCCAGGATAGATGATGGAATGGCAGCTTCACGTTTCTCGCTACCCTCTTGCTTCGATCCATTGGTATTTGAAGCTTCTGGCCCGTTGATCTGTTCGGCAGTCTTGTTCTCGGAGTCATTCTTGAGATCATTAGAAGACGATGTGATAGCAAATTCATGCTTATCGCTACCCTCTTGCGCGGATCCGTGGGTTGTTGAAGCCTCTGGTTGATCAATCTGCTCCGCAATCTTTTTTTCGGAGTTATTCGTAAGATCGTTAGAAAACGATGGAATAGCAGATTCTCCCTTGTCACCACCCTCTTCCTTGGATCCATAGGTGTCTGAAGCTTCTGGTTCGTCGATCTGCTCAGCAGTCTTGATCTCAGATTCCTTCCTGAGGTCATTGGAAGAGGATGGAATCGCAACTTCACGCTTATCGCTACCCTCCTGCGTAGATCCGTGGGTGCTTGAAGCTTCTGGTCCATCAAGGTGCTCCGTAGTCTTTGTCTCAAAATCATGCTTGAGGTCGCCGGAAAAAGCTGGCATACCAGCTTCATGCTTCTCCTCCGCAATGACGGACTCGGCGTTGTTCTTGATTTCCTCGGTCGCAGCTTGCTGTTCTTGAATTGTAGATTTCATGACATCGGAAGTATCAGCATTGACTTCATCAGATGCTCTCTTCTCGCCCTCAATGCCATCTGTCATAAGCTCGTACGATCCACCGTTTATTTGCTTGGAAATTTCCTCGTCATCTTCAATGTCCTTAACTTTCGTGCTTTCGCCCTCGTCGTCCTCTTGCTTGCATGCAATGGTGTTTGGAGCGCTTGATTCGTTGATCTGCTTCGCAATCTCATCATCGTCCTCAATGTCCAGACCCTGGGCTGGCTCCATCTCAACGTCGCTATCGAGGCCGTTAATATGCTTCTCATCCGCTTCAACGCTCTCGTGCTTCAAGAGGAGCTCTTCATTTCGATCTTCATGATCGTCGACCATTTCGACGTCGGCACTATCATCATTGAACTCGTTTATCTCCGGCCCCTCAGGTAGACCTCTGGCTTCCTTCATCTCTTCGTTATCCACGATTTGCTCGTCTTTTGGCGTCTCGGCATCATGGTTTTCATTCTTCTGTCCGTCGGGAGACGACTCATCGGGTGCAACCTTACTCGCGCCCTCGTCTCCAAAAGTATGGCCTGCCGCCGGTCCATGCTCAGCATCGTCTACCTTCTCTTCGTTGGCAGACTGCTGTTCAGAAACATCTTTGTTTTGCTTCGTGATCTCCAGGCTACCCTCGGTATCCATTGCCTCGGTACTGTCGGCAATGGATCTCGGGTTTATGTTTCCGTCGGCCTGGGCGTCAACAGGGGCATCATCAGTTTGATCATCGATGTGATATGAGAGCTCCTTGCCATCCTGGGCCTCCTTGTTTTCCGCGTCTGAATTTGAGACCTCACTTGCTCCTCGTGCCTGCTTGACTCTACCCCGGCCCTTCTTTGCTGCTGGAGTCGACATCTTAGATGGGTGAGAAGATGCATTCTCATCCCCCAGCTGTCTGGAAACATCTGCGCCATCCTCGACTTCGTTTTCAATCACGGAATCTTCGGCATTGCCATTGGTCTTCTGGTTCTTCTTGGGTCTACCTCTGGCCTTCTTGACTGGCGGGGACGACGCAGTGTCTTTCTCAATCTGCTCTGCGATTGCCTTATCATCCTCAACACCATTCTCCATGATAGAGTCTTCATTCGTCTCATCATTTGGCTTTACCTTCTTTGCTCTGCCTCTAGTAGCCTTCTTCTTTAGAGCAGGCTCTGCAACTTCCTTCCCATTCTCCTTCGCATCATCGACGCCATTGTCTACCACAGAGTCCTCGACGGCATTGGTATCATCACTTGTCTTCTGCGACTTCTTAGGTCGGCCTCTTCTCTTCTTGGGAGCGATCTCGACCTCTTTCACATCAGCAGCATCGTCTTCGGCTTCATTCGTCATAACTGATTTTTCATTTTCTTCCATCTTCTGCGCCTTCGCACGACCTTTGCCTCTCTTCTTTGGGGGCTCAGGGGCTTCATCTTCAGCCTCGTCGACAGCTTCCTCGTTGGCACCGTTATCCATGACCGAGTCGTCATTCTCATCAATCTTCTTCTCCTTCTTCGCTCGACCTCTGCCTCTCGTCTTTGGGGACTCAGGGACT